CGCGCTCTGATTGGTCGGTTTGTTTTTATTAATATCTACTTAACGAAACCCCATCCGACATTTTTGCAAAGGAAAAAGTTGTTTCAAATCACCTCCCGAACCACCCCTTTCAAAGACTTCCAACATTTTTGGGACACCCTGTATAAACATTTCTCTGAGCCCATTTCTCGAGGGCGTATATACACCCTTCGGAGTCAAAGGGTTGACGAATGAGAATAGAACGATAGGATTGCTATTTTTATGACGTACTGTATTTCACGACGTTCAGCTTCCTCTTGCGAGATATCCTCTTCGACGGAGTAATCAAGGATGGGCTTAACACCGAATTGTCGTAACCTATCCAGGACAGGAGTGATCTGCACCTCGTCTTCGCCGGCGACAAAGTGACCGTAAAATGTCGCCTTCATAAGCTTCGTGAAAAGCTTCTCGCCTAACACCTGTTTGGCGATTTTCATTAACTGAAACAGAGAAACGAACGTTTTTTAAAATAAATATATATATATATATATTTTTTAAATAAACTACGAACATTATCGCAGTTACATCACGGGGCCACAACGTAAGATCAAAGTTTAAATTTTTTTCATCCTTTGGAATTTTTTGCATACCGGTTACGCAACTCTAATGCTAAATAACGTTGTGCACGACATGTTTCCGATTTACCTTGGTCGCTTTTGCAATAAAAATCCGCGTTACGCTGCCTTAACTGCAGGAATGATTTGCAAATAAAATCTGGAATTCTTTGCAGAATTATTTCAGCCACTTATTCAGGTACAGTTGCGCGCTAGGGTGGTTCTTAAAAAAAAGTGACTTTCGACGTAATAACAATATGACTGGAAACGGCGAGAATCGAGAAACAATTCCCCTTTGGCACTTGACTCTTGTGATTAGGGTGATTTATTTTGTGAAACCTACCCACATCGAATCGATTGCGAAACGTATTCGCAATTACGTTCAACCCTTTCGCGTTTGCATCATAAAGATCAATTATTCTATTTCGAGGCTGCGAGACTAATTGTGCTCGTCGTCGTTCTGCTAATTTGACTCGATTAGTGAGGTGCTTTTTTTTCTATTATTTTCTATTATAATTATTTAAATTACTTTCCAGTAGTACCATAACTAATTTGTGGTAACTATACCACAAGATTGTAGTCATTTATATTAAATAAATACTCTACGATTATTCGAGGCCCGTCTGCTATTTAACAAGCACGCGTTTGTGTGCACAATCACTTGCACTATCTCTCCTCGCGCAGTGTCAACAATGCTTGAATAAATAATAAGTCGATCAAATCATAAACACTCAAGGAACGAGTCGGATTCTACGCGAAGTTTACTTTTTTTTTTTTTTTTTTTTTAAGTAAATAAGATGTATCGCGGCGCTGACACATTAAATAAATATTAGAATAAACGTTGGTCGTCTAAAACATTTTCTAGTCAATATTATCAAATTAGATTAGACTCGAGAAATAAGAAATATTTATTCCTTTCAAGTGGGCCAAACGCAGAATCTTATCTATCGTTTCAACAATATCAATGGGCTATACTACGAGTACCGTGCAAATTTTTAGACCACCTAGTAGTGTATACATAGTACATTACATCTTTTCAATTTTTGCCTTATTTTAAAAAAAAAAAAAAAAAAAACCGAACATCTTGCGATTGACTTTCGTCTTGTCCCCCCTCTTGTTCCTTTTCGTTTCATATGGTCGTGTTTCCATATCGATTTCGTTGTAGCGAAGACGACTGACAAGTCGAGGAGCAATCATGGCACTTTCCGAATCTGGAATGAAGCCAGTTAAAATCGCAGAGCGACCCAATTGTCCTTGTACGGTAGTGTCCGGGAAGCATCCTGGCAACGAGGAAATCGCTATCGAAGAAGAATGCGAAAAATGACGGGGGGCGCGATACTTTTCTTGCGAAAAATATTTCTCTTGAAGAAGAAAACGAAGACCTTTTGAAGTGAAAGTCGCTCGACTAATATTACTCAAATTGCCACCTGAGCGCAATGTTCATACCAATGAGCAATATTTACAAGAACGGTCGGTTGGATACGACGCGACGTCTACCGTTTATGTAGCCGTGATAACAGAGTATTACGATGATTATTACAGTTTGCCAATGTTCTATATGCTCGCTGATAAATTCACAATAGGTAAACAGTGGCCAATGAGTTGGCAAAGAAAATATTCTAACATCAAGACGAACGCAAAGAAGTGATTTAAAAATGCCCTAATTTCCAGTGAAGTTTGTTAGATTCTTCCTTATTTAGAAATTTTATTCGCATGCTTCAAATATTTCTAGTTTTGATTATATTTTAATTATATATTTGTACATGTGTTTGTTTTAGATCTTAAAGAAAGTATTATTTTTATTACAAAGCAAACATATATATATATATATATATATAGCTAACCCTTATTATAGGAAACACAAGTTACTATGGCAAGTGAGAATCTGAATTTGAATTTTGATATTTAGAATTTTGGTTTAGGGGTACCGTTGATCTCCCTTAGGTCAGGCTACAGCATCCAAAAGCAAGTTTCCACCAATCTTTGTGGTGCTTATCGATTATTCTAGGTACAATGTGATACTGAACAATATGCACTATTGAGAATCATAGCCGTAATCCATCACCACGATTTATTCATCGAATCTAAACATAGCCATCTTATGGCATAATCTGGCTCCCTTGTATACAGTATGTAAGTAAGTATACCTAGTGGTTCTCAGAAATCCCTAGGGTTACATTGAATTTTTTCCGACATTTTATTATAAGTTGATCATCTAACTACGTTACATCTATCATTTTTACTACTATTTTTCCAGTATTTATATCATTTTTGCAATGTCGAAACGCACACTTGTTCCTCGACACTATTAACGCGCGAAAGTCTGTGAATATTTTATCGAAACGGAGTACTTTTACTGAACGTGTATAGTGGAGGCAGGGTCGATACCTAATGTGGTAGCACAGAAGCCAAGAAAAATGAGAGAGGAAAGCTGTGCAGCACTATAAACACGAACAATTGAGTTTCAAAAGCATTTCGTGACTGGCAACCAACGTACACTCTAAAACAACGTTTGTTTTCAAATAAAAAGACATACTTCCTTTAATGTATAAAGGAACGCTATAAAAACCAACAATTTTAGTTTCCTTTGTAATAAAGAAAATACTTTGTTTAAGATCTGAAGCAAACATTTATTGCTTTCAATCTCGAAGTAATCTTAACAATTTTAATTAATTGTTAATCTTAATTTCGGAACGTTTATCGAGCAGGTATGTATTTATCTGAGGCGATAACAATGAACACTAAACATTTAATTTGTCCAGTTTCTAAACCCTCTTCGAAGCTTAATAAGGGTTAGACTTAAACACAATTAATCGTTAATCTTAATTTAAGAACGTGTATCGAGCCTAAAGCTGTTTATCTGAAACGATTACAATAGACTTTGGAAAATACCACATAAATTCCACATTTAATTTGTTCAATTTCTAAACCATTTTCGAAGCTTTATAAGCGTTAGATTTGAGTACAATTTTAATTCATTGTTTATCTATATGACAATAACTCCGAAGAATATCGTTCCGATTCGCCAAGAAAAATGCTGCTTAAAGAAAGCTGAGCACTCGTAGGTAAATTGTGATCTTCTCAATAATGATACGGCAAATCATTTGCAGAAATTAGAAGTGCTGTACAACTAATCTCCCATCGTACAAAACGATAAAAAAGAATTTTAATCCTCGGTCAAATTGTAACGATATCAGTAATGGAAAAGCCTAAGTTAACTCCTCCAATGCCATTGTTGGATCATCTAACGTCTTCCACGAATCGTTCGATAATGACCATTACAAATATCAACTTGACAAGTAAGGTGTTTCGCAACTATGTTGCCGTCTATTTCCGCATCTCGTCGCGATTCGCACAATAGAAATGTTACATAAAAATCCTTGATTTAAGAGAACACGTTGCAAAAATCTTCCTAACTGTTCAGTCTTTAAACGTACTGTTGAGTTTGTTTAGATTATTTGGAATACGCGTGCGTACGTAAATGACGAATTAACAGCTTTTTTTTTTTTTAACGAGTGTAACTTCGCACCAACTGCTAGTTAGACCCGGGTTAAAATAACGTTATTTGAAATATTGTTTCAATATTATTTCAAATGACACGTTACTTTATAGATAAATTGATGGTCGGTAACTTTGACTAGCTTCAATATGAATGTACAATGCTTAAAACAATATACGAAGAAATGAAAAATTTACACGTCCCTGAACTCCACGAGCGAGACAAATAACATGTCAATGACGGCACTTGATCGTTATCGTGAAAATAATATTCGATAGAAAGAGGAATTACATACTTCGCGTGATAACGATTGCTTACCACTGTGTACACAAGTGTACCGTTCGAATCTAAGAATACATTACGTTTTCGATCGATTTCTGCGCGACATCAGAATTTTCGAACTCGAGACCAAACTTTACACGCGTCTGATAAAAAGACACTGATTACGCTTATTGCGCAGAATACGTCGAAGAGGCTGATTGAAAATCAGATTCCGTTCTGCTACGATCGATTGTGAAATCAATGAACGGATTTCCGAGTATATTTTATTGATGGAACGGCTTATCGCTACAACATCACGATTAGGGTTCAAGATTTTAATTTTCGTTTTCGTAGATTAACGAAACGTATACCTGAGCGATTACTCGTCCGTTTTGTTAGAGATTACGGACTGGAGACAAAGTAAGCAAATATAGTGGAACTAATAAATAAAACAATGGAATTGATGGTGTGTCATAGACCTCGTATATCAACGGGGTATTCTAGTCTAGAACTTTCAAAATATCGATTTTCTTTTTGTATTTTCTTCAACAAGTTAACTTTTAAAAATATATCTGCCAAAGGGTTTTGTGGAATTCAGAAAATTGACGAAGTTATCTCCAGTTCATTTGGATACTGCATTTTAAGTTTCTTTGCACTTTTACCTGTAAAAGATTGCGAAATATGATTGAAATATGATTGAATATGTGTGCAAAGGCTTTTGTATAAATTTCTTATAGATTGAAAAACAAAAGTCCTCGGAAAGAACTAAAAATTGACGATCTAGACTAAAACAACCCCGTAAGTAAATTTCCGAGGCAAACGTGTTTCAAATCAAACAGCTTGTAATGAATACTACAAAAAGATTCCCAACGAAATTGATCGGGAGATATCGAAAGAATTCCACGACAAATCCGACGTGTTTTTGTATCTGCAAAACTGGAGTAGCACGCCCCGACGCCGACGCCTGGACAATCGAGTGCGTCGGCTGTATCGATTCACAGCATTGAATTCTCTGACCTGCATTCGCGGAACTGCACCGACAGTCCAAATCGTTCAGCGAAAACCGAGTTTAGATTACAGGCTCCAATCGCGACAGGCGACAATCGGAGTCATGGGTGTACGTTAC